TTTTACTTCTTTTTCTGTCCCTAGGAGAGAATGTTATGATTGCTCCGGTGGAGGACAATTGTCGGATGGCCATTAGACTACACAATGTGTGACATGAAAACTTTTACTACCGTGAGCAAAAATCCTCCTCCACCAGCGGTTGTCAAACAGAACAACCCTGGGCGTGTAACAAATCAGCTGCAATTTCTGGAGAGCGTTGTGATAAAAGCTTTGTGGAGGCATCACTTTTCATGGCCCTTTCGTCAACCGGTTGATGCAGTGGCCCTCCATCTTCCAGTGAGTAGTTTAAAAATGTATATAAAACATCAGAATCTTTTTTTTTTTTTAAGAGATGTTCATTTCAATGTCTTAAACCTGAACTTATCTGAAAAATCTGTTGTGTAAATATATGTACGTAGGTTTAAAGTAAATTTTATAAAACGCATATTTCAACATACTGCCCATACACATTAGATGATGTTACTATAGCCCTGTTTTAAGAAACATTAGAGGTCATATATATATGTATGTATATATATGTATATATACATACATATACATACATATATATATATATATATATACATATATATACATATATATATACATACATGAATTACATTATCAAATTTTAAAAAAAAAAAATCCAGAATGCAAAGACTAAATGCAACAACGTGTCCTTATCATTTGCGAATAATGTTAACTGTCAGATTGTTAAATATATTTTTGAAAATATCTGATTCTGTTTTTTGTTTTAGGACTATTATACCATAATAAAGAATCCAATGGACCTTGGCACCATCAAGAAGAGACTCCTGAATAACTACTACTATGAAGCTCATGAGTGTTTGAGAGATTTCAACACCATGTTCACCAACTGCTACATGTATAATCAGGTATTTTTTTTTACAAGTGCCATATTGAGAACATTCTTTGGGTGAATATATCCGTTTAATACTTTTCTGTTTTACTGTATTCTCTCACAACAGCCTGCAGATGACATTGTCTTTATGGCACAGACTCTGGAAAAGCTCTTTTTGCAGAAAATCTCTCAGATGCCTAAAGAAGAGTGCGAAATCAAAGATTTAGCAAAAGAGCCCGTGGACATCAGAAACCCATGTACAGGTACGGTAACAAACTGGGGCCTAAATAGGGCTGGCAATAGAACCTCTTGGGGGTTCTGTTGTTGGGCTCATTTTCCGCAATTCAATAATGGCTTTAAATTATACATGTACTTTTGATTTAACGTATTGGCAACATTGTCTTATAATGATTTTATATTAATTTCCTAACCATCAATATTTGGCTTAATAATTGTAATCCAATCAAACGGGGAGGGATCCAGAGATTCCTGCCCTTCATATTTAAATTAAAATGAATATTTAAATTAAAACATGAAAAATGTAAATATCAATATAACTCTGCGTAGTAGTGACTATATACTGCAAGAACTGAATCGTACGGTGCGATAGAGCTAGCGTTATTTAATCAATATCCAAACATATATGTAATACGTATGTTCAGTTTATGTTTCAGTAAATATATGCCAGGAAACTTGCCTTAACATTATAATGGACAAATATTTCTTTCACTCTACATGGACATTGTGTCCTGCCCTGCAGGAGTCTTAAAGCAGAGATCAGTGGTGTCTGAAGTAGTTTTGCAGCAGACAGTGACTGTCATCCCTCCTGACGTGCCTCAGCTTGTGCCTTCCATGCAGTTTACGGCGGAAATTGACGCTGCGGTGAGTATCTTGACATCTTCACATGCATGACACGGACTTGTTTGTTTAGAGTCATCACGTAAAAGTTGATATACTTTATTTTCCTTCTGCATCGCATGCAATATTTCCCCATATGGGTTTAGGTTTTTAAAATGATTTAAATAAGTGTTAATTCAGACCAACTATCTGAACACTTGAATTTTTTTTTTTTTTGCAATTTACTGCATAATTTATTGCTGTTTTTTTTTTTTTTTCTTTTTCTTTTTTTCTTTTCAACATTCAGATTAAGAAAAGTTTAAAAAGGAAATCAAGTACCAACACAGTTGGTGAACACTTGGCTACATGTGCATCAAGAAAAAGTAGCGGTCGTACTATTAAAGTTCCTAAGAAAGACTTGCCAGATGTTGATGAACATAGGGTCAGACTGCCTGAGCAGCTTAGGCACTGCAGCGACATCCTAAAAGACATGTTCTCCAAGAGGCATTACACGTATGCATGGCCCTTCTATACACCTGTCGACCCAGTTGCATTAGGCTTGCATGATTATCATGACGTCATCAAGCAGCCTATGGACCTAAGCACTATTAAGGTGAATCACTGTGTTTTATCATAACATCAATTCTCACGTTTTAGATCTGTTTTTTTCTGACACACGGTGTTGCTTCCCCAGAAAAAACTGGATCAGCAAGAATACGCCACAGCGGCAGAATTCGCAAGTGACATGCGAATAATGTTCTCCAACTGCTACAAATACAATCCTCCTTCACATGAAGTGGTTTACATGGCTAGAAAACTGCAGGTATACATTCCTTTTTTTGGGGGGGGCATATTGGTTAATAATTATAGTTTTACACTAAAGAAAAGGTTGCTATATGGAATATTTTGTCTCTAATTCTCTCAAACGGATTTTAACATTAACAGTTAAACATTTCAGTGTGCTTGCGATTATCTTATGCCAACAGGCCACATATGTCCCACGAAGTCATTTAGTGTCACCCATGGGACCTTAAAAAGTGTTTGCCATATAATAAAGTCCATGCTGCTGAATTTTTTTATTTATTTTTTTGACCTGATAAATTAATTGAAAAAAAAAACAATTACACAGCAATGTACAAGATTTGTAACTTCCGTAAATAATCAATTGCAGAAACTTTTATTAATACCTTATGAAGTAAATTTTAAGAGTAGCCAAATAATGCATTGTCTTTCATATTTAATTAGACAAATTATGACATGTAAACATCTAAATAGCTCTACATTTCTAGTTCTGAATTTACTAAATTCACAACCTTTCATGATTTCCGCACATAATCGCATTTGTGCCCGAACAATAAGTGAAAAGATGCATGGCTAAGTTTGTCGTTTATGTCCAGTGAAAGAGACCACTAGGGGGCAGTGGTGGCTTATGGGTTAAGGAAGCAGACTTGGGTCCGCAAGGCTTCAGGTTCCTCACACTTTCCTAACACTACTATCCTTTATGCTAGTGTAAGACTGAGCATCATCTTGTTTGTTTGTTCTCCCCTGTAGGTGGTGCTGTTTTACCCGACAAATGTAGATGCATTATTTAAATTTCTTCCGTCAATATTTAGCTCTCAGCAGAGAATGTTTCAGATTAAAACTGCCAGCTTGAATGTCTATAAGACCATGCTGTATGTAATGTTGACCCCGGTGTGAACCTTGTAAGTTAAAATAATACAGTTTGTGATTTTGTCAAACACAAATGTTTGTTCAAACCAACAGGAAATTTTCGAAGCGCGTTATCAAAAGATCGTTCAGGAACCAACGGTTTGTTCTGTGGCTCATCATCCAGTGGAAAAAACACAGAGAAATGGCTTGACAGCGTCACCCAGTTCCTCCAGTCAAAGTTCCTCAGAGGAAGAAAATGCATCAGAAGTGGTGGCCAATCAGCTGGCCAATCTGGAAGAACAGGTTGGTATGACATTTGATTACACCGGGGCTTTCAAACATACTAAAAAAATGGACAAACACTACATTTTCTATATGATATTCATTTATTATGAATATTGTCTAATGTATTTCTTTGCATGAAAACAAAGGGGAAAACATGTACGTATTGTTATTTAGCCTAAAGATGGTACTGTAGGTAACGTGCTTGCAGTCAGTGGACTTCCTCTTCGATGTCCTGGCATTTGCCCCTGTTTTAATTGTGCTATAAAAAAAAAATGTTTTTCTATTTTTTATAACACAAAATCAGCTGAGAGCTGTCAGTAATCAGCTGAAGAAACTTACCCAAGACCCTCAGATGAAACCCAAGAGAAAGGGAAAATTGAAAAAAGGAAAATGGTCCAAAGAACGGCACACTGCTGGAGGAAAGACCAAACTCTCAAAATACAAACGTGCGGCCAAAAAAGGGCCAATCATGAAGAGTTCGTCCTCTCTGTGAGTAATCCTTTGGGAGCACTTCAAATTCATTCCGTTTTAAATGCGTAAGCTCTTGGGGGGGAAAAAAATTCAACACGTTTTAATATTCGCAGGGCAAACAACAAATACGTACAACAGCTGGCCATAAAACGCAAAAACAAGAGCATGTCGTCACCCATGACCGCGCAGGAGAAGCTGCAGTTGAAGTCGGACATCCAGCAGCTGCCTGCTGACAAACTGAGCAAGTTGCTGAAAATGATAAACGAGCGCGAGTCTTGTCTGAGACACACATCACTGCAGGAGATGGAATATGATTTTGAAATGCTCAAATCATCCACACTGAGAGCCCTGCAGCTGTATGTCGCTGCATGTCAAAAGACACGCAGCAGCAACAACATGCTTCTTGGTAAGTCCACTATTTTTTTTTTTTTTTGGAGGCTTTTTTTTACGCATTGTTAGCGTTTAAATTATGGACCAAGTCGTATTGCTTATTTTTACAAATTCTTTGGTTTAGATACTTGTGAAATTAGGATATGTGGATTTTCATGCTTTTAAAATGTTTAATCGTTAGATAACCATAAAGCCTAGCTTATTTGTTTTGTGTAAAATATTGAAGACTAGGCCTTGGCAACCTGTGACTCAACCTCGCCTCTCTAACATTGTCTCCGAACTGCTCAACAGTGATTGCCCTTCAAATATTGTTGTTTTTGGTTTTTTTTTCCATGCTTGGTCAAGCCCAATGAAAATCTCGAATTGTTTCAATTCTTTCGTAGTCACGCTTAGTCACCGTTTCTGAACAGCAATATCGAAGCAAAAATTGCATCAGAGGGGCTGAAATTTAGTATTGGTAATTCATGGAACATAAATACTATATTGAAATTTCTCTCTTTCTCATTAAAATGAATAGGAATGAATTTGATAAAATTTAGTTTGTGACTACAAATACCCAGTATGTAACGAACAGACCTTCTTCTGACATTTTAGGTATATATATATATATATATATA